CACACTCACACTCACACTCACACTCACACTCACACTCACACTCACACTCACACTCACACTCACACTCACACTCACACTCACACTCACACTCACACTCACACTCACACTCACACTCACACTCACACTCACACTCACACTCACACTCACACTCACACTCACACTCACACTCACACTCACACTCACACTCACACTCACACTCACACTCACACTCACACTCACACTCACACTCACACTCACACTCACACTCACACTCACACTCACACTCACACTCACACTCACACTCACACTCACACTCACACTCACACTCACACTCACACTCACACTCACACTCACACTCACACTCACACTCACACTCACACTCACACTCACACTCACACTCACACTCACACTCACACTCACACTCACACTCACACTCACACTCACACTCACACTCACACTCACACTCACACTCACACTCACACTCACACTCACACTCACACTCACACTCACACTCACACTCACACTCACACTCACACTCACACTCACACTCACACTCACACTCACACTCACACTCACACTCACACTCACACTCACACTCACACTCACACTCACACTCACACTCACACTCACACTCACACTCACACTCACACTCACACTCACACTCACACTCACACTCACACTCACACTCACACTCACACTCACACTCACACTCACACTCACACTCACACTCACACTCACACTCACACTCACACTCACACTCACACTCACACTCACACTCACACTCACACTCACACTCACACTCACACTCACACTCACACTCACACTCACACTCACACTCACACTCACACTCACACTCACACTCACACTCACACTCACACTCACACTCACACTCACACTCACACTCACACTCACACTCACACTCACACTCACACTCACACTCACACTCACACTCACACTCACACTCACACTCACACTCACACTCACACTCACACTCACACTCACACTCACACTCACACTCACACTCACACTCACACTCACACTCACACTCACACTCACACTCACACTCACACTCACACTCACACTCACACTCACACTCACACTCACACTCACACTCACACTCACACTCACACTCACACTCACACTCACACTCACACTCACACTCACACTCACACTCACACTCACACTCACACTCACACTCACACTCACACTCACACTCACACTCACACTCACACTCACACTCACACTCACACTCACACTCACACTCACACTCACACTCACACTCACACTCACACTCACACTCACACTCACACTCACACTCACACTCACACTCACACTCACACTCACACTCACACTCACACTCACACTCACACTCACACTCACACTCACACTCACACTCACACTCACACTCACACTCACACTCACACTCACACTCACACTCACACTCACACTCACACTCACACTCACACTCACACTCACACTCACACTCACACTCACACTCACACTCACACTCACACTCACACTCACACTCACACTCACACTCACACTCACACTCACACTCACACTCACACTCACACTCACACTCACACTCACACTCACACTCACACTCACACTCACACTCACACTCACACTCACACTCACACTCACACTCACACTCACACTCACACTCACACTCACACTCACACTCACACTCACACTCACACTCACACTCACACTCACACTCACACTCACACTCACACTCACACTCACACTCACACTCACACTCACACTCACACTCACACTCACACTCACACTCACACTCACACTCACACTCACACTCACACTCACACTCACACTCACACTCACACTCACACTCACACTCACACTCACACTCACACTCACACTCACACTCACACTCACACTCACACTCACACTCACACTCACACTCACACTCACACTCACACTCACACTCACACTCACACTCACACTCACACTCACACTCACACTCACACTCACACTCACACTCACACTCACACTCACACTCACACTCACACTCACACTCACACTCACACTCACACTCACACTCACACTCACACTCACACTCACACTCACACTCACACTCACACTCACACTCACACTCACACTCACACTCACACTCACACTCACACTCACACTCACACTCACACTCACACTCACACTCACACTCACACTCACACTCACACTCACACTCACACTCACACTCACACTCACACTCACACTCACACTCACACTCACACTCACACTCACACTCACACTCACACTCACACTCACACTCACACTCACACTCACACTCACACTCACACTCACACTCACACTCACACTCACACTCACACTCACACTCACACTCACACTCACACTCACACTCACACTCACACTCACACTCACACTCACACTCACACTCACACTCACACTCACACTCACACTCACACTCACACTCACACTCACACTCACACTCACACTCACACTCACACTCACACTCACACTCACACTCACACTCACACTCACA